GAGCCACTGGTCCTGGAGGTGCTCATACTGGCGGTACTGGAGCTGCTGGTGCTGCTGGGGGTACTGGAGCTGCTGGGCCTGGGGGTGCTCCTGGTGTTGGAGCTGCTAGCGGTGCTAGCGGTACTGGAGGAGTAGGTGCTTCTGGAGCTACTGGAGCTGGAGCTGCTGGGGGTGTTGGCCCTGGAGGTGCTGCTGGCGCGATGCTTTTGAGGGTGCTGGAGTTGGCGCTGCTGGGGCTAGAGGTGTTGCTGGAACTGGTGCTGCCGCTGGGGGTACTGGTGCTGTCCGTGCTGGTTCTGGAGGCGCTGCGCAGCCGCGGCCGTACTTCGTTCCGCTCCTTGAGCAGGTTCTTGGTCTCCCACCTTCTACTAGTCCTGCTCCTTCCTTAGAGTGTCCACCGCTTGTCCAGTCGTAGTCACAGTTACAGCCCGCCTCCCCACTGCCTGCTCCTTCTCCCTACACTGGTCCTACTGGAGGTCTTGCTGAGCGTCGTGAGCCTGCGTCTCATCCTGCGTCGCCTGTTCGTGCTGCTCGCACTAGTCGTTGTGTTCCGCGTCCGCGTCCTCCTGCGGTCCCAGGCACACACCAGATGGCGTTGCGTCCTTCCACTGCTCCACTGCGTGTCCCTTTGCCGTCTCCTCTACAGTCCTCTCTTCCTGCTCTTGCTGACCCGGAGTCTGACTCTTTTTGTGCTGCCAGTCCTACTGTCACGCATCTTCTGGCTACTGCTGTCACTGACCCTTCCTTTGAGTCCACTGCTGCGTCTGCCTTAGTTGCTGAGCTTGTCGACTTTGCTGCTCACTGTCGTCTAAACTACGCTGCTAGTCTTGTTGCTGAGTCTGAGTCTGTCTGTCCTCCGTCCGTCGCGGGTGAGTGTGCTCTTAGCACGGACGTCTTTGAGGACAGGCAGGAGGAGTTCCAGTGTTTTGCTGCTACTTTGCCTCATCTCGTGTCCATGCTGATTGCCCCTGAGGGAGACCCGGATGCACCAGACATCCCGACTCCTCGATCGTACGCTGAGGTGATCGAGGGTCCCTAGTCCTCTCAGTGGCAGTCAGCCATGGACGCAGAGATGGCTTCCTGGAAGTCCACAGGCACCTACGTCGACGAGGTTCGCCCACCTGGGGCGAACATCGTCAGTGACATGTGGATTTTCAGGGTGAAGCGGCCGCCGGGGTCTCCGCCTGTATTCAAGGCGCGTTACGTGGCTCGAGGCTTCAGTCAGCGGCAGGGAGTTGACTACTTTCAGACCTTCTCTCCCACCCTGAAGATGACCACTCTTTGGGTGCTGCACCACATAGCCGCTCAGCGCGACTACGAGCTTCACTCTCTTGACTTCAGCACAGCTTTCTTGCCGGGCACCCTGCACGAGGAGATCTGACTGTGCCGCCCACCTGGCTTCACTGGGTCGTTTCCTCCTGGTACCCAGTGGAGCCTCCGACGGCCAGTCTACGGTCTCCGCCAGGCGCCTTGTATGTGGCACGACACACTGAGGACTACACTTGCGGCTCTTGGGTTAGCTCCTTCTACTACCGACCCGCCGTTGTTTCTAAGCACCGATACCTCTTTGCCGCCGTTCTACATCCTCGTGTACGTCGACGACTTGGTCTTTGCCACTGCTGACACTGCTGGACTCGCCCACATGAAGTCCCAGCTGCAGAAGAGACACGCATGCACAGACCTGGGTGAACTACGCAGCTACCTTGGCTTGCAGATCACCCGGGACAGAGCACAGCGCACCATTACCCTGACTCAGTCACACATGGTGCAGCAGGTCCTTCAGCACTTCGACTTCGCGTACTCCTCGCCTCGGGCCACTCCTCTGTCTACTCGCCACTCGCTCTCAGCTCTGCCTTTGGATGAGTCCATAGTGCCGAGTGGCCCGTACCCAGAGCTTTGGATGACCTGCACTCGACCTGACCTTGCATACCCTCTTAGCATCTTGGCACGCTATGTTGCTCCTGGGAGACACAGACCAGAGCACATGGCTGTAGCGAAGAGGGTGTTGCGCTACTTGTGCAGTACGTCGAGCACGGGGCTAGTGCTTGGAGGGCAGCGTTCAGTAGTCCTCACAAGTCACGCAGACGCTTCTTGGGCTGACGACCAGGCTACGCAGCGGTTGTCACAGGGTTACACCTTCAGCCTTGGTTCCGGCTCTGTTTCGTGGCGGTCTACCCGCTCGTATTCCGTTCTTGGCTCCAGCTGTGAGGCTGAGATCTACGCGGGGGCCATGGCTGCACAAGAGCTACGCTGGCTCACCTACCTACTGACTGACCTAGGAGAGCAGCCTCGTTCTCCTCCAGTTCTGTACGTAGACAACAAGGCCATGCTGGCCTTGTGTCGGGAGCACAAACTGGAGCACAGAACGAAGCACATTGCTGTTCGCTACTTCCTTGCTCGTGAGCTGCAGCAGGGTGGTCAGCTGCACCTTGCTTACGTGGCCTCTCAGGCCAACACTGCTGATATCTTTACCAAGGCACTTCCACCTTGTGATCATCAGCGCTTTTGTACGATGCTAGGTCTTGTGCCTACTTGGCCTCACTTGCTCACTTCTTGACCTTGCTTGTACTGTGATCTGTCTATACTTGCACTTGCTTGTTTACCTTTATATATGATCTTGCATGTGAACTGGCCTTGTGGCCTTGAACTTGTGCTCGGAATGTGTGGTGACGTTGTGATCCACCCTGAGCTAGCTTACTGTGCTTTGCTTTACTGGTCTTGTGACCTCTTGTTCCCCCCCACTTTGCCTATGGGGGTGTGTCAAACTTATATGCTATAGTCTGTGTAGGCTATAGTGGGGTAGATAATATGGGGTACAACACTTTTAGGTTCTCCTACTTGTACCCACCTGTTTCCTAGTGCATTCATTCCTCGTTCTTTCACACATGCACGAGGCGTTTAGGCCACTTTTAGATAAATGCGTGATAGTTTACCTCGACGGCATCCTCGTCTACAGTCGCAATAAGTAGCAGCACTTAGCAGACCTGGAAGCAGAATTTAAAAACTTAGACGAGCACCGGTTACTTACCAAGGGTTCCAAGTGTGAGTTTTTTCGGATAGGCTAGAGTTTTTAGGGCACGTTATTTCTGAGGCTGGGGTTGAAATTGACCCGAAGAAGCTGGACACGGTGAAAGCATGGCACCCCCCGACGAATCTCACGAAACTACTAAGTTTTTAGGGTTCGTCAATTACATGCGTCGGTTCGTCCCCGACATGGCGCGCTTAACGGCGCCACTTACAGACTTACTGTGAAAGGGGATCGCTTTTACGTTGGGGGAGAAAGAGCATACTGCCTTCTCTGCCCCGAAACATGTTCTCTGTTCACCGCCCACATTGTGCATTGCCGACCCTCACCGCCCATTCGAAGTAGTTACAGACGCAAGCGACATCGCCATCGGAGGTGTACTACTACAAGATTTTGGCAACGGGTTACAGCCCATTGCATACGAGTCCCGCAAACTGCATTCGCGCGAAAAAAATTACCCGATACACAACCGCGAAATGCTCGCGATCGTGCACGCATTCAAAGTGTGGCGCTGTTACTTGACCAGCGCAGACATGACAGTACGGACATATCACAAGTCACTAAAGTACCTCCGCGCACAGCCAAACCTCAACCCACGACAGATTCGCTAGCTCGAGTTCCTTGAGTCCAACTTTCACTATACAATCACCTACAAAAAAGGAGCCTCCAACATCGCCGACGCATTGACCCGCCCCACTGCCCAAATTCATGCTATACTACTCGCCCAGACTAGCCCGCAACTGACAAGAGTGTTTACCCACAGATAACAAACAAACCCGTTCTTCATAGAAGGAAATTCGCAGCAGTTCGCAGCAGCAAATGGAGTCTATTACGTAAAAGCCGGCACCGACCGCATATGGGTGCTAGGGTATACTTTGCTAAGGAAGCTTTTATTATAGGAGGCATACAACTTGTCAAACTTATATGCTGTAGTCTGTGTAGGCTGTAGTGGGGTAGACAATATGGGGTACAACATTTCTAGGTTTTCCTACTTGTACCCACCTCTTTCCTAGTTCATTCATTCCACAATTCTCACATGGTATAGAGCAGGTTCCCTAGTGGGAACTTCCTAGGGCCCACCACTAAAAATCGACTTTTTTTTACTAGAGCGCGAGTCGCCCCTGCCCGAAGCGCGCCCCGTGGGCCGCCCTCTTATCGAGGCCTCCTAGAGGCCCCTCTTACGGCCCCTCACGCCACCCTTAGCGGCCCCGTCGCCACCCCTAGCGGCCCCGTCGCCGCCCTTCTAGGCCCCTCAAGGCCCCTTCGCGGCCCCGTCGCCGCCCCTAGCGGCCCCGTTGCCGCCCTTCCAGGCCCCTCGCGGCCCCTTCGCGGCCCCGTTGCCGCCCCTAGCGGCCCCGTCGCTGCCCTTCCAGGCCCCTCGCGGCCCCGTCGCCGCCCCTAGCGGCCCCGTCGCCGCCCTTCCAGGCCCCTCGCGGCCCCTTCGCGGCCCCGTCGCTGCCCCTAGCGGCCCCGTCGCCGCCCTCCCAGGCCCCTCGCGGCCCCTTCGCGGCCCCGACGCCGCCCTTCGCGGCCCCGTCGCCGCCCCTAGCGGCCCCTGTCGCCGCCCTTCCCGGCCCCGTTGCCACCCTCTAGCGGCCTCGTCGCCGCCCTTAGCGGCCACGTCGCCGCCCCTTGCGGCCCCATCGGCGCCCCCCTTTCGGCCCCTCCCTGGCCCCTTCACAGCCGAACCGCCGAGCCGCCCAGCAGCCGAGCTGCCGAGCAGCCAAGCAGCCGAGCCGCCTACAGCCGAGCCGCCCAGCCGCCCAGCCGCTGAGCCGCCGAGCCGCCCAGCAGCCAAACCGCCGAGCCACCTAGCAGCCGAGCCGCCTGCCGCCGAGGCCGCCGAGGCCGCCGTCGAGCCGCCACTGCTACTGCCGAGCCGCTGCCGCTGCTGTTGCAGCCCTGTTCCTCCCGGCGCGCCCCGGCCCTACCCACCCCGACTGGTGAGAGCCCTCCTTGTTAGACCACTGCTGTCATGGCTACCCCCAGTGTCCTTACCTTTGATACTGAGGGTCGTGCTGTTGACTTCGAGGTCTGGGTCGATGACCTGCAGCTTTTCCTACAGTGCGATAGGGCAGTCGGACTCTCCCTGTTTGATCTCACCTCTGGTGCCTCTCCTGCCCTGCCTGCTGATGCTGACAGCACAGTTCGCTCACAGTGGGCCACGCGCGATGCTGCTGCGCGTCTTGCTGTGCATCGCCACTTACCGACCGCTGAGCTTGCGCACTTAAGTCAGTACAAGAGTGCTAAGTCCTTGTACGTCGGTGTAGTTGCACGCTACTCTTCCCATGCCACTGCTGCTCTTAGCCGCCTCATACTCCCGTACCTGTTTCCTGACCTCGCCGCCTTTCCCACTGTCGCAGACCTCGTTACGCACCTTCGCACTAGTGACACCCGCTACCGCGCTGCACTTCCCGCTGAGTTCTGCGCCAAGAACCCCCCCCCCCCCCCCATGTACATCACCCTCTACTACATAGTCACCCGGCTCCCTGACTCCCTTCGCTTGGTCAGGGACCACTTCCTCTCAGTTTGCCCCACCACACTCACCGTTGACCTCCTCGAGGAGCGCCTCCTGGCAGCTGAGAAGAGTATAGTCGCTGTAGGAGTCTCTAGAGGTGACCCGCGTGCCCCTGTCTTTGAGGGGTGCTCCCCCTCCCCTCTTTTGCCCTCTGTTGCCTTTGCTACTGCCGTCAACTTCGTTGGCACCGAGTCGGTCAGCGCTGCGTCTGCCACTAGCGGGCGACACCGCAGCAGCAAGGGCAAGGGGGGCAAGGGCGCTGGAGGGGCTAGCGGGGGCAGTGGAGGTGGAGGTGGAGGAGGCGGAGGGAGTGGGGGTGGTGGTGGGAGTGGTGGCGGGGGTGGGGGCTTCGGTGGCGGCGGTGGCGGCGGAGGCGGCGGCGGCGGTGGCGGTGGGAGCGGAGGAGGAGGCGGTGGCGGCGGTGGCGGAGGTGGCGGCGGAGGAGGTGGAGCTAGTCAGGGTGGCTATGCGCAGCGGGGCGGCTATGGTGGTCAGCGCCAGCAGCAGCAGCGCACTCGTGAGACCCCGTCCCCCCAACAACTTCGTGAGTGGTACGCTGAGCGTCAGCGAGGTGGGGAGACTGGTCCCTGTACCTACGTCCTCCGTACCGGCGACCGCGCTGGTAAGCAGTGCGGGGGCTCGCACACCACCCAGCGCTGCTTCGGCCGCCTGACGGACGCTTGGCGTCACCAGTTCCCTAACGCCACTGAGATGCCTCACTGGGGAGAGCTGTCTAGGGCGGGGTTTGCTACCTTTGATCTTGACTATGATGCTATTCTTGCTGCCCTGTATGCTCTTACCTGTGTGTTCCGCCTGACCCAGGCATTGAGGCTGCTGCTCTAGGTGGTGATGAGGCTGCTGCTCTAGGTGCTAGTGTGTCTGCTGCCCCAGGTGCTGGTGAGTCTGCTCTCTCTGGTACCACGTCGGCTCAGGCCTTACACACCTTCACCCTTGACTCCGGTGCTTCCCGCTCCTTCTTTCAAGACCGCACCACGCTTACGCCGCTTAGTCGGCCGGTTGCGGTCTCCCTGGCGGACCCCTCTAGGGGTCCTGTCCTTGCTCGCTTCTCCACTGTCTTACCGTGTCCGGCAGCCCCCTCTGGCACCCTGTCAGGTCTCTACCTCCCCTCGTTCTCTACGAACTTGGTGAGTGGTACTGATCTACAGGATCGGGGGGTTGACCAGTTCACTCATGCAAGTCAGCGAGTGACCCACTATACGGGTGCTCGGACGGGCCGACACTTGGCCACGTTTACCTGTCGGCCGGGGTCGAGCCTGTACACACTGACTACTGAGTCTCCTCCGGTTGCTGAGTCGGGTTAGGTAGCTGCGTCGAGTTAGGTGTTTTCTGCGGCGTCCAGGTCTGGTCCTGAGTCTGCTCCCTGCTCGTGTCGTCTCCTGTCCGGAGACGTCGCTGAGGTGTTGATCGACTGGATCTGCGCGGCTCGTCTCCAGCTTAGAGATTGTTTCGGCTCAGACTTTCCTATTCTGCGTTTGCACTATGACAGAGGCGGGGAGTTTGCCTCTGCCCGTCTGGGAGCCTTCTGTCATGCACAGGGCATCCGCCAGACCTTCACGCTTCCGGCCTCTCCACGGCAAAATGGGATTGCTGAGCGCCGCATTGGCATGGTCATGGACGTCGCTCGTACGTCCATGATCCATGCGGCTGCTCCCCATTTTTTGTGGCCGTTTGCGGTTCAGTACGTAGCGCATCAGCTCAACCTTCAGCCCCAGGTCTCCTTGCCAGAGACCTCCCCCACCTTGCGGTGGACGGGGAAGGTTGGCGATGCGTCTGCATTTTGGGTCTGGGGATCTCGGGCGTTTGTCCGCGACTTGTCTGCGGACAAGCTGTCCCCCCGTGCTGTTCCCTGCGTCTTCCTTGGCTTCCCCCCTGACGCGCCTGGTTGGCAGTTTTACCACCCCACCTCGCGTCGTGTTCTGTCCTCCCAGGACGTCACCTTTGACGATTCGGTGCCTTACTACCCTCTCTTCCCCTACCGCACTGCGCCCCTCCCCCCGCCGCCGCTCTTCCTTGCGCCAGGTCCTCCTCCGGTAGACCCTCTCCCCCCTCAGGGTCCTGCCCCGTCAGGTGTGTCCCAGGTAGACGCACTCGAGCCTGTCGGATAGCTGTTGACTCTGGTGCTCCTAGGGGCGCTGAGCCTGCGGGTGCCGGGTCTGGGGGTGCTGAGCCCGAGGGTGCGGAGCCTAGGGGTGCTGAGCTTAGGGGTGCTGAGCCTGGGGATGCTGAGTCGGGGGTGCTGAGTTTGGGGGTGCGGAGCCTAGGGGTGCTGAGCCTGAGGGTACGGAGCCTGGGGGTGCAAAGCCTGAGGGTGCTGGGTCTACTCGTGTGGCCTCTGGTGGTGCTTCGTCGAGGCGGGAGCTACTCTCTCCGCAGGAGCTGCGCGAGTGGTTTACCCACGAGTGGTTTGCCCTCCGCAGAAGATGACCACTCTTCGGGTGCTGCTGCACATAGCCGCTCAGCGCGACTACGAGCTTCACTCTCTTGACTTCAGCACAGCTTTTCTGCAGGGCAGCCTGCACGACGAGATGTGGCTGCGCCGCCCATCTGGATTCACTGGGTCGTTTCCTCCTGGTACCTAGTGGAGCCTCCGGCGGCCAGTCTACGGTCTCCGCCAGGCACTCCGTGAGTGGCACGACACACTGAGGACTACACTTGCGCCTCTTGGCTTTGCTCCTTCTACTGCTGACCCGTCGCTATTTTTGCGCACCGACACCTCTTTGCCACCGTTCTACATCCTCGTGTACGTCGACGACTTGGTCTTTGCCACTGCTGACACTGCTGGACTCGCCCACGTGAAGTACAAGCTGCAGAAGAGACACACGTGCACAGACCTGGGTGAACTGCGCAGCTACCTTGGCTTGCAGATCACCCGGGACAGAGCGCAGCGCACCATTACCCTGACTCAGTCACACATGGTGCAGCAGGTCCTTCAGCGCTTCGACTTCACGTACTCCTCGCCTCAGGCCACTCCTCTGTCTACTCGCCACTCGCTCTTAGCTCTGCCTTCGGATGAGTCCGTAGAGCCGAGTGGCCCGTACCCAGAGCTTGTTGGCTGCCTCAGGTACCTGATGACCTGCACACGACCTGACCCAGCATACCCTCTTAGCATCTTGGCACGCTATGTTGCTCCTGGGAGACACCGACCTGAGCACATGGCTGCAGCGAAGAGGGTGTTGCGCTACGTGTGCAGTACGTCGGGCATGGGGCTAGTGCTTGGAGGGTGACGTCGATTTGTCCTCACAGGTCCCGCAGACGCTTCTTGGGCTGACGACCAGGCTACGCAGCGGTCGTCACAGGGTTACACCTTCAGCCTTGGTTGTGGCTCTGTTTCGTGGCGGTCTACCCGCTCGTCTTCTGTTCTCGGCTCCAACTGTGAGGCTGAGATCTATGCGGGGGCCATGGCTGCACAGGAGCTACGCTGGCTCACCTACCTGCTCACTGACCTAGGAGAGCCGCCTCGTTCTCCTCCACATCTGTACGTAGACAACAAGGCCATGATGGTCTTGTGTCGGGAGCACAGACTGGAGCACAGAACGAAGCACATTGCTCTTCGCTACTTCCTTGCTCGTGAGCTGCAGCAGCGTGGTCAGCTGCGCCTTGCTTTGTCTGTGAGGCCAACACTGCTGATATCTTTACCAAGGCACTTCTGCCTTGTGATCATCAGCGCTTCTATACGATGCTAGGTCTTGTGCCTACTTAGCCTCACTTGCTCACTTCTTGACCTTGCTTGTACTGTGATCTTTCTATACCTGCACTTGCTTGTTTACCTTTATATATGATCTTGCATGTGAACTAGCCTTGTGGCCTTGCTCTTGTGCTCGGAATGTGTGGTGACGTTGTGATCCACCCTGAGCTTGCTTTGCTTTGCTTGACTGGTCTTGTGACCTCTTGTTCTCCCCCACTTGGCCTATGGGGGTGTGTCAAACTTATATGCTATAGTCTGTGTAGGCTGTACTGGGGTAGACAACATGGGGTACAACATTTCTAGGTTTTCCTACTTGTACCCACCTCTTTCCTAGTTCATTCATTCCACAATTCTCACACAACGGCGTTACCTCGGGCCATTTCGGGGGAGAAAAAACACGGCAGCGGCTGCAACGGTATTACTATTGGCCCGAAATGTTGACCGACGTACAGCCAGGGTCCTCGTTATCAGACCAAATCGGTCTGATGGTCTGAAAATCAGACTACTTTTTTCATTGCACCTGAACCGTAAGACTGGTATTTTTCTTTTGTCTGAATCGTAAGACCGGTATTTTTTTTTTGTCTGGAATAAAGGACTCAACGTTATATTTTGTCTGAGTAATCAGATAGTGAGTATATTTCCGTCTGACAGCACGTACCGAGCAAGCAACCCCCTCCCCGCGAACATTCGAGCCCGAAACCCTTGCCCCTCTTCCACCTAGTTTCCTCGAATCAAAGTCCACCCTACAGCTCAGACAAGTCACGTTCCAGCCCCAAACTGCTCCCTCTCCCAGCCCAACTCCCCCTAGTTCCTCTCGCAGCTCAGCAGCCGAACCCCCTGCTGCACTCTCCCGCCTCTCGCAGCCCAACTCCCCCTAGTTCCTCTCGCATCTCAGCATCCGAACCCCCTGCTGGACTGTCCCGCCTCTCGCAGCCCGACATCCCCATGATTCAGTTGTGACGCTCTGATAAAAACAACATGACACAACTACAATTTGCAAAAATAGACAACACTACTTGTTTCATATAAAAAATCAGACATGCCTTTCTCATTCATCTGAAAAATCAGACCAACTTTTTTCCCCCATCTGAACGTCAGACAAAACAAATTTTGGGATTCATGTATTCAGACGAGCTCAAATACTAGCAAGAGCCCTGCGTACAGCGACACATGGCGTCGTGTCCCACCTGCCAACACATGAAATCATCACAGAAGCGGCCGGCAGGGCAGTTGCAGCCGATACCACCCCCAGAGCGTGCTTGGCAGCAGGTGACTAAAGAATTCATCATGGGGTTACCGGCTAGGGCAAGTGGGAACGATGCGATCCCGGTCGTCGTCGATCGGTTAACGAAATTGGCGCATTTCGCAGCATGCAAGAAATCCATCTCAGCCGAAGAAACATCTCGGCTCTTCATCGCTACCGTTGTTCGATCACACGGGATACCAGCAGCAATCATAAGCGACCGAGACACAAAAATTCACCAGCAACTTCTGGCGAAATCTATGGCAGCAGTTTGGCACGCGACTACAGTTCAGTTCTTCGCACCACCTTGAGACAGACGGACAAACAGAACGGACAGACCAGACCATGGAGTAGCTTATTCGAGCCACGTGCGATGACCCAAGCACGTGGGAACAGCAACTGCCACTCATCGAGTTCACGTACAATAATTCGCCATCTGCCACGACCCAACAGTCACCGTTTTACTTGAACTACGGACAAGACCCCACAGTATCCATGACCCCAAATCCCGACAACCCCGTACCACGTGCGCAGCAGTTCACCGAGATTTTACAGGCAGCACGAACCCGGGCAGCAGACGCAATTAAAAAATAAAACGTAATCGCTAAACGCAACGCCGACCGCCACCGCCGTCCCGTCACCTACCAGCCCGACGACTTAGTTTTACTCGACACTCAAAACCTACGCCTGCCCCTCACCCCAAAACTCCGCCCTCAATATTGCGGGTCATAAGCCACATGATCACACCCGTCACCGCCCACCTCCTCCTCCCCGCTGACTGGTACGTCAGCCCGTCATTCCACGTCAGCCGCCTACGTCCTTACGTACCATCCACAAGCCAACTGCCCCGACACCGACCAGCCAGCACAACACGACCACCCACTAAGCCAGTAATTACACCCGAGAAGATCCTAAGCCATCGCATTCGTTGTCAAATTATAATATTGTGTAGGCTATAGTGGGGTAGCCTATATGGGGTACACATTTCTAGGGTTGCATATTTGTATCACTTCCATTCCTTAGTCAATCATTCTCGTTCTACTTTCCTCATGGTATCGAGCAGGTTCCCCCGTGGGAACTGTGCGTAGGGCCCACCACATCGATCTTTTTTTTTCCTGCCCAAAGCGCGCTCAGCCCGAGTCGCGCTCCGGGCTCTCACCTCTTCGAGCCGCCCTTCTCAGCGGCCCCGCTGCCCTTCTCAGCGGCCCCGCCGCCCTTCGCTGTGGCCCCGCCGCCCCACATTGCGGCCCCGCCGCCCTTCTTCGCGGCCCTGACGCCCTTCGCTGCGGCCCCGCCGCCGTTCGCTGCGGCCCCGCCGCCCGTCTCAGCGGCCCCGCCGCCCTTCTTCGCGGCCTTGCTGCCCTTCGCTGCGG